GTCAACCATCCTTCAACCATCCTGAATGTTCGTTCGGCTTATACCGCCACGCCTACAGTGCCGCCGGCGTGCAACTGTCCGCGCGGTACTCGGATGCGCAATTGCCTTGGCCATCTGCGTCGGCAGAGTGACTGCGACTGCGGATGAGAATGCCCTGCCAGGTCCCTCATCCCTGGCCTCCAGAAGCCATGGCCAATTCCTCTTCGGTGAAGCTAGTCCGGAGTTCGCTTTCCCACTCGCAGAATACAACGGTTTGGAGTTCGAAGATGCGGTAGACGAGGAGGGAGATGCGCGCGGACTCGACTTGGTTCGCCGGGCTCCCACTGGGGTGACATCCCTCGGAAACAATCAGTATCAGAATGGCACTCTCAAGATGGGTGAGACGGAGTGGTGGTATTTCCCCGTGAATGGCGATGAGACCAATAGCACCTCTGAGAATAAGAGTCGCGGTCTTTCCAAGCGATCCACCACCGTTTATTTGTCCCTCACGGCATGCTCGAAGCCCAGCCACAACAATTCGGATTCCACTAGCACAGCGGCCGTACCGCAGCTGACACTCTACGCGTCTGAATCGATAGAGAAGCCTGGGCCTGACAAGTCCGAGTCCGGCCAGACGATCAAATCAGCGGAGGAGGGCTATGTGGGCATGACCCTTACGGCGAATGGTGATGTCTATGTCGGAGTGACGGCTCCCAATAGCACTGAATATTCTGGTTCTTTCACCTACCAGATTGCAGCTTCGACAGATGCCTATTTTCATAGCGTCGACGAGAGCGATCAGTTCATGTTCTTAGTTGATTCGGACACTGGAGCAGCGCTTCTGACGACGAGAAATCTCACCACCACCGATCTTACGTCACAGAACTACAGCTCCTGGATGGACAGGACGCCTCCATACACAATGTTCGCCAACAACATCAACAGTTCGTCTATTTCGGGCTTAGAACGGTCATTCTGCGCTCTCGATACGCTGGCGCAGATTGGGAAGAGCAAAGTTGAGGCGAGCATCACCACCCGGGGTGCAGTAGACAGGCCAACTGAGCAGTTCTATGTCACCGGTCTCAACAAAACCTCCACCTACTACGGAATCATGGCTCGTGAGGGCAATTCCACCAGTTGGGGCAATGGAATCGTGGGAGGTGGAGGTAAAGTATGGCCGCGCATGAACTTTACAACCAAAACAGGTGAGAAATAATGAGCCCCAATACCATGGCCTAACCGTATTCTAACGAAGAACCAAACAGATGACAACTGTGCCGTTGTATATGATCTGCCATTCTGCTCCGAAGTCGCCTACGCAGTGCCATCTAACCCCTCCATCAACATGACCGAACTCCGCAGTATCTACGACGACAACGCCGCATCCCTATACAAGAACTTCAACTACTCCCTCCAACAAGTCCAATGCAACACCTCCAGCGAGAGCATGTTCTCCCTCGCTGTATCCTGCCACACCTGCGCCGAAGCATACAAGCAATGGCTCTGCGCCGTGACAATCCCTCGATGCGCAGACTACTCCAGCAACGCCACCTACCTTCAGATCCGGAATGCAGGCCAGCCCTTCCTCAACGGCACCTCGATCACCAACTCCTCCCTCCTAAAAAGCCCCGCCACCAACAACTCCCGCAACCCTCTCATCGACAGCAAAATCCGCCCAGGTCCATACAAGGAAGTTCTCCCCTGCCAGGGCGTCTGTCATAGCCTTGTCCGAAACTGTCCTTCGATATTAGGCTTCGGCTGTCCAGAGGGCCCGCGGGCGAATATGTCGTACGGCACACGCGATCCTAATGGTGACATCACGTGCAGTTATCTAGGAGCAGCGTATTACCTTAATGCCGTTTCCAGTTTGCATGAGAGCATCTGGATCTCTCTTTATATGGTGATAGGTGTTTGGACTCTGTTCTGGGTTCTTGGGTAGTAGGAGTTTTTAAACGCAGTTGTTCGAATGGGTGCAACTATTCCCCAGAATCTTTGTCTTCCTTATTCTTCTTCATTTTCTCACTTCATTAGTCGACATGCATCGGGTGTGTATATTTTGGGATACATAGATTGCCTGCTTTGTGTTTGGAGCGGGCATAGAGGTGGAGTCATAATGCTGGATCAGAGAGGCATTGCATGTGGATAGCTGATACGAAGATGCGAATAGATACCCCTCTGCGTAAGGATGGCTTGTATGTTACTGCCTGGAGTTTCGTATCTGTTATTTTCACCTAACATGGCCCCTAGATGGGAGGTGGTTTAGGGACGTAAGCTGCAAAAATACACTTGCTTATAGTTGGCAGGTGGGCCTGTCTATTCTACACCTAAAATGTCTCTACATTCTCCTTGATATGTTTTAAAACACTAGACCAAAGGCAGCTAACTAGTAATCAACCTCGCAATTTCGAATTAGTATATATATTGCCATATGACAGACGCCCAAATGTAGACGGCAACTGTTGTATTAAAAATGTCGAACCCTTCTAATCATTAACTCATGATAGCATATAATGATCCCCTTTCATGACGCCTCGATAATTCCTGGTATCTAATAATGTCAAGTCGAAACACAAGCGCTAACTCATTTTGCTTTCAATAGGAAAGAGAGAAATTTGTATGAAAGCAGACACCACATTATTTGCCCCTTTTCGGGGTCGGTGTCCACATGTTCCTCAGAGATGAACTGGAGGACGATGCCGCTAGACGAGGTGTACTCCCCACCTGGTGAAGTAACTTCTGTGCTGCGGGAGTCAAAGCTTTGTTCGTTCTCCCTCCTGGCGTAGCTGCACTTGGGGTGCGCAAACCAAAGTCCAGTCGTGGGCTGCTGGCGAACCGTGGCGTTACGGGAGTCTTTGTTTCGCGAAGGGACTTCTCCGTTCGCTTAGACCTCGCTACGCGATCTACCATGCGGTGATGAATATCTTCCCGTCTCCGGTTTTCTTTGATCTCAAAAGGATTCGGTGTGGCATCACTGCCGCCAAGCAGGCGAATATCATCCAGAGAGATCGCAGAGTCGTCATTGTCATTTGATGAAGCGAGGGGATAATCAGGCTCATCCTCATCCACAAAGGCATACCCATTTACTCGTGGCGTCTCACCCCCGGTATATACTGCTTCAGATTCGGTGGGGCGAGGGTGTCCGGCGATAGCGTCTTTAATGGCTGATATCGAAGGTGAGGGCGGGGGTGCATTTGTGGCAGATGACGTCTGCTGGATGCTCTCATCTGGTAACCGTGTGTTCTGAAACACTACCCGCTTGGGCCCTGCGCGCGACGATGCTTCGGCTTTTTGCTGTATAGTTTCATATGAGTCCTCTATGGAAGAAGGCGCAAACATGAGCGAGTTCTCGGGTTGAGTCTTCCAGGTGTCTGGATTTGCGGGCCGGGCGTCCAGGTCAGTCTTTATGGCCACCTGCTTGAGCTGATCTGGGTTACCCCCTTGTGCCTCGATCCGCTTAGCTTCTTGCCGCCGATGCGCGATCTGTCTAGCAGTTGGTATCTTATTCCCACTCCACAGCCATTTATATCTCTCGCGGTGTTTTTCATTTTGTTTATCGAGCAGCTTATTGAACGACTCATTATCTTCACTTGTATATTTGGCCTGGAACTCTAACAGCCCAAGGCGGGACACATCCGGTATCGTAGCATGGTCGACGTTGGGTGTAGTAGATGACGAAGTTGTTGACATGACTGACATCGGTGTATCTCCTCCCCAGCCCATCGGGGTGTCTTCAGGGCGTCCCGAGTTGGTGGCTCGTGGTGTCATATTGGCTGATCCGGAATGCGATCGAGCTCTTCCCGGTGTCTTCAACAGGTCGGTCAATTTCTTCTTGGAGCTTGCAATCCATTGTTTGTTTTTCGAATCAAGCGCATCCAAGTACTCCTGCTTCACCTGGGCTTCCAGGAGACCGGGGAAATAATCACGCGCGATAATCTCCGACAGAGCATTGGTGTAGATATCTTCGTCCAACACAGTGGCCGGCCGCTTGATGCGCTTGGGTGGCGGCGGCGGGGGCATAAGGCTGGTGTCGCTTTGACGCTTGGTCAGAGCCTGCGAGTCGGCAGACATGACTGGTGATTGCGGGTGATACAAAGACATAAGCGTAGATGTATTGAAGAAGAAGATTGCTAAATGATGAAGAGGCGAAGGAAGAAGGAAGACGACATGCTCGTCTGCGACCAAGCGTGGATGACGAACATGGCAAGAGCGATCCCCGATATCAGCAGAGGAAGGAGCACTCGACTGGCAGAATATCCATACCGCCATGGATGGCGGTGAGACACCGGCGTCACATGGCGATCAGGTGGTCTGGTCTAGCTCGATGCACGTGGGCTTACTTGTTTCAACGTCTGCTACTACAATTCCCAGTGTTTGAAAACTGATTCAATGAAAAGCGCCATTCATGCTATAGTGACAGTAATATCAAATGTTATAATCATCACTTTTTCCTCTCCACGGTTTGCCCGCGTGTAAACCTCGTATCAAACAACTCTTCCCAGACAGACCCAGTTATCCCTTCCTGCTCTATCTATATACTGACACAGACCTAAATCGACAATGGATGTTGAATAACACAAGAGCCACTGCAATTGCAGCAGCTACCCAGACAAAAACCGAGACCAACAAAATGAAAAATATAAATCCGAACGAATGTTCTCCGACTGAAACCCCGTTCACTGTCCTTTCCAAATCCTCCATTGCCAGAAAAACACCCAAGATTTTTTCTTCCCGAGGAAAACAGTCGCTGAGAAATGCACCAGGAAATGCAAGTGAAGAAAATCTGAGGAAACAACAAAGAAAACATAAGCGCATAGCCCGCAACAGTGGGTCCGAATGACGGTTTAATAGATAACATTCGTCGCAGAGAAATCGAAACGCAAGCCACCACAATGAGAAAAAAAAATGAATCATCAAGTCGTTGAAGAAGTTCTATAAGTGAACGGATGAGGAACGGAATGTTGCAGAATGCTGAGAACCAGGGGTCTGTGATGGATGCAAGTTGTCGTCGGGTTGATTGCAGCTCAATTTGCTGCAGGAGTAGGGAAGAGGGAATAGGATGCTCGGCCCTTGCGCCGAGGGGCGGCCTTAGATGCAGCATCATTCTTGATGGCTCTGGCAATCAAAGGGCCTGCCTCCACTTCAGTGGTGGACTTGGCTCTGTCGTGGATGGAAGGACCCACGGTGGACGCATAGCCTGAAGGCTCGGGGCTTGCGTCGCCATCGGCTCGGAAAAGAAGCTGGGCTTCAACTTCGCGGGCCAGGCTCTTGGTCTGCCGGTGATGGGAAGATTCGGGGCGCCCCATTCCTGAGAGTTCATCTGAGAGCCTCTGCTCAGATGGGTGGAACTCACGGCTGCTTGCCAAACTGTGCACCAGATCAGGAACACTGGCGGTCGAGACGGAGGAACGATGTTTGCGGGCGACCGACGCGGCGCGGGACAGGATCAAACTTTCCTGGGAGTTACACTTGCTAATGGGAGAAAAGCTGCTCCGGGGAGACACGGACTGGTCCATAGGCTGGATCACACCTGGCTGCGAGTAGAAGGCGAAGTGTCGGTCTGACTCCGTGTCCGCCGTCAAATACTCATCGTACAGCGAATCGGGGTTAATCTGTTTCCCCAAGGTGGGGGCAAACCTCACAGGCTGAAAATAATCACTATCTCGCTGCGTCACAGCAATGCCAGTGTTATCATCTAGGGTGGACGTAACCACTACATGTGCGCTTGGGACATGATCCAGGTCCGCAGCGGACGCGCTCAGCCGCATTGGCTCAAACATCGCTTTGTCCCCATCCACGCCAGTAATTCCGTCTTCCGCATCGTCTTGTCGAGCCTCGTCAAGTGAACTGCGAGTCCAGTCAAAGTTGCAATTCGACTCGGCAGCATGTTCATAGCAGTAGTCAATGTCTGCGTCCCAAGACTCATAGATAGTTTCTTGGATGGCTTTCAAGTTGACTGAGGATCGCCTTCGGACTGGCTCTTGAGCCATGGACTCTTGCAGTGGTGCAATACGATCCTGTGGAAGGGTGGGGGAACCCAGTGCCTCAGCGAACTTTCTTGACAAGTCTTCGGCGACAAAAATGGACAAATCGGACCTAGGGCCAGCCAGGGAAGGGTTGGATGGAGATTGCGCCGCAGACAGAGGTGGAGACCTTGACATAACAGGCGCGCGAGGTGAGACCTCGTCAGTTTGGAGGCCGGCTCCTTCATGCCAGGGGGCCGGCTCCTCTTCTTCTGGCACGTCTTCCAAGTCTGACGACAGAGTGGGTAAGGACATTGACGAGGTGCGGGCATTCATCACTTCGTTGTTGACGCTGGTCGGGAAGGAATGGCCCGAAGGAGGCTGGAACATGTCTTCCATAGGGATCTGAGGCCAAGCAGCACCCTGTTCTACATCCTCGGTATGCGAGTATACATGCTCCGGGTATGTCGGTTGGGTTGACAGACCGAGGATCTCGTCAATGGCGCGAGGAGCTGGCTCAGGTAATTCAGGGGAGGATGCCAGCCTCGGGGACGAGGCTCTCGGCGGCGGGCTGGTTGACCCAACTCTAGGAAACCTTGGGACAGGCCGCGAGAAGTTCTCAATAACGCGCGATTCTCTTCGTCCTCTGAGGTCGCGCTGCTTGGGACTGACCGACGAGGAACCACCTGGAGATGCTGGTGGACTTGTTGGCGGAGGGGGAACAACGTCGTCACAGCCAATGGCCGTCCCACACTGAGTAAGATCCTCCGTGGAGAAGTCACGGAAGTGCAGGTCTTCAGCACGAATTCCTTTCAGGTTGGTAACAGGTCTCTGAGAGGCACGAATGGCCGAGAACTCGGTGACTAAGTCAGTCTCCCGGGCTTTCTCCAGCGATTGAAATTGGGACGGGCTCGTATGAGTCAGATGGTGGAAGTCAAAAGGATCCGAGATGAGATTCTTCAGCTGGTCATCTGTGGCGAGTCCATTGTGTGAGCATTGAACACAATGTCGATAATTACAGCGCAATCCGCATGTGATAGGAGTGACTTACGCGCATCACTATGGCGTGACTTGTTCCGGCTGAAGATCTCCGAGACTTCAAAGCGAGGCTTTTCACGCTCCATTTCATCCTCCTCGTCCAGCGTGGAGACAATGTGGAACTTACTTCCCTGACGACGGAGGATCCGGCTTCCCCGCGAAAGAAGCGACTTGGTCACGCTCTCGGGCCGTTCATGGCGGACACCAGCCGCCGAGGTTGCCCGGTCATCATGCGACGGCAGCGAAGCTGCATCCACGGAAGTCATGGAAGACGCGGGGGAACGGCGGGAAGAGGTGGTGGAGTTGGTGGTGTTACTGCGAGAGCGGCCACTGAACACGGACAGCCGTTTAGGACTATGCGCATGTGCAGTTGACCTGGAGCGGGTGTGGACCGAGTATGGTTCGGGGGACTCGTTATGGGGTGCTCTGGCAGAGGGACGGTCCAGATCCTGCTGGGACATGGTGTGAATGGACACTGGCGGGTAGGAAGCCTGCATCAGGGGAACAGAGGGAAGGTATGTTGACTATATATCAGGGAATCCAGTGGGCGATGACCGAGTCGTGGGGGCGGCCAAATGAGCAAGGCGAAGCAAGTGAGCGACCGTTAAGCCTCCGATTGTGATGGGATGGTCCTAGCTTTGACCATGGTAGGGAAAAGATGCCGCACACCAGAGAGCTGGGGAGACACAAGGCAGTCGAGAGCACCGACGAGCTGAAGATTGGCGGGTTTTCAAGGTCGAGGTTGAAAGCGCATGCCCCGTGTCGAGAGCCACGGAAAGTTTCTTGAGTGTTTTAGATTGGAAGTTGAAACGGCTGCGGGAAACGTATCCAAAAATTTGGGTCACAAGTGACAAGAAGGAATGAGATGATGGGGGAGGGGGAAACAAAAGGAAAATGGAAATGATAGATCAATTGCAAGAGGGGAAAGCAAAGAGAGAGAGAGAGAGAAAGATAGTGGAGAGAGTACGAGTAAGTAAGAGAAATAAAGAGAGAGCGTGTGAAGAAGATATGGAGACAACAGATGTGGGCAAAGGATGGAGTAAATGAGCCGTAAAGTAAAGTTCCAGCCGTCGCTGTCGCAATAACAGTTTAGGGAGCAAGTGGTTTTTACTGGACGGACCCAAACTAGTGGCCGCAGTACCAACGAAAAGGAATGATGGGTCGGGACTAGTCCGTAGATAGTGAAGTAGTAAAATAGTAAGAGTAGTAGTAAGTAGTAAGGTATGGGATTAAATTCTGGGGAAAACGAGGGTAAAACACTGGGTGAATCGGGAAAAGACAATGATCACAACCAGCACTATAAAAAGAGCAGCAACAAACTACTACGAAACCCACACTAAAATGAAGGGAAAGGAGCGAGACGAGACGATCATCAAATACTGGCGATGTCAATCCCAGCCCAGTTCCAGACTTATTTTACGGTACACCAACAACACGGGACGGCAGGGGTATTGAGCGTATTTTCCTCCTCCCTCTCTCCCCCTCTCTCCCAACACTGCATCGGATGCCGTAAGGTAAACAACCGCTTCAGCCAGCAGGGTCAGTCAGTCAAAAAATAAAAAAAAACTCAAAATGGTAAACCTACGTTGTTATTTTATTTTATTCTATTTCAACTGATTTTATTTTTCCTTTCTTTTATTTTCTTTTCTCATTTCATTAGCATTTTTACTTTCTTGTCCCGCCCACGTTCGCCGTTGAAAAACTTTGTCTTCTTTTCTTTTTCTTCCTTCGGGAAGTAAATGGGTGAATTTTCCATTGGCCCTGCCGGAGGACATTTGTTTTAACTGTAGGAATAATATTGATTGACAGAATCATTACCGGTGTCAGATATTCTTCCGTTCAGCCAGCAGTTTAGGGTAACAGTCGGCCACTATGATACTAACTAACTACTACTACCTCAAGTATGCCTGGACCTCGCTCCTCGGCCCCAAAAAAAGGCCCTTACGGAGTCAACAAGTAATAGTAGTCAACAAGTCTCAGGATTTATCATCCCGAATCCTGGGATCCGCCTTACGGCTCTCTTCCCGATAGTAATCCTACATAGCAATCGGCCCTATGGAACCAGAACCAAGCTGGTGCGTGTGTATGCTGTGTTTGTGTAAGTATGTAGTAGTATCAATTGACATTGACACCTTTCCCATCTGTCGTGTCCCGCCGCCGCAGCTGCAGTAGCAACATCATCGTCATCGTCATCTTCCCCCAAAGTGGATATGGTATGGTTAAAAAAAGCAACATGCGTTTGAGATCATGATCGATGGGAAGATGGAAAAGGGATCATTCCCTTCTCCTTCCCCCCCCCAAAGAGGCAACCGAGGAGGGGGGGAATTGAACGAACCTCCTAAGACTAACCCACGGGATCGTTCGATCCCGAGGCAGTTAAACCAAAGATAGACACTATCATCCTTCGTGGGGAAAAACGACACGATGCAATTCTGAAGGAATACGCAATAAAAAAGAAAAGGAATTATTTTACCCCCCCTTCCCCCTTTCGCACAGACATTCAATGGCTCGACTGCCTAAACCATGAGCCCCCAATTGACCGAACTCTCCTCCCCTATTAACCGTCTAGTTCGTCAATTGCCCCTTAAACTACTACCTACGCAGTTCCCCCAAGATACCCAAGTAAGTAACAGGTATCACCTATCACCCAAAATGGGAAAGGGGAAGACAGACCCGGATACAGAAGCAGAGACAGAAGAGAGACAGTGTGAAGACGGGCGGGACTTCAACCGAATCTATGCTCGATTGTTTACCTTTTTCGGTCTTTAATCTTAATTACTATTATCTGTCGGGGTCCATGGATTGCGCCGTGCGCTGATCGATCGGGCTTTTGCCTAGACATGGACTCGAGATGGACAGAGAGAGAGACAGAAAGAGACAGATCCCTCAAGGCACTAAAATTCCTCCGGTGCAATAAAACAACGCACATGGGCTTCCAGCCATGGTTCTAGGGGCTTCCGTCGAAACCACAGGGGGGATAAGAAAAAAGTAAGAGAAAAAGCAAACATGCTGATTAGCGGTCGGAAATCGTCTCCTCGACGCACACACACACAAAGCTGTTGTTGTCGTCGTTGCTTATGGAATGATGAGCTGAGACGGTAATCTAATGAATGATATGCGTTCTACCTTCCCCAAGACAATTAACTAAACGATGCCGCAATGACCTACAGAGTCCACTTTGCTACAGATTACTATCGATCATCTATTTCCCCCAAGGGCCCAGAATCAATAACATGATAATTAATCTATCTGACCGTCGAGCACCGAGCTCTCAGCTCGGGACTCTCGGTCAGACGCGATGATCTCACGGGGACTTCCGTTGGGCGAGTATTGGCGGTGGGTTCGATGGAACCACAAAGGGCTGATAGTGAATTAATTGATAGGCGATGGATGCGATACAATGTGCAATGGAATCATGGATAATCGAAGTCATGCATGGACTTCGGCCATTATCTTGGAGATTGTTTTCTTTTTTTTTTTTTTACCGGCTGAAGTAAGACAAATCTATCATTGGCACCGTTACTCTCCGGCGGACTACTCTTGCGAAAGAGAGAGAGAAACAGAGGTCAAAATATTCGCGCGTTTGTTCGGGGTAACCTCCATACTGTCAGCAGGCGAGCACGCTGATTGACGGGTTCATTGTGGACATGCATACGTACCTACATGCATGCATGCAGCTACTGGGTAGGTACAGACAGACCTACGGAGCACAGTGCCTAGGACTACCTAGTGCATAAGCAGTCCTGAGACTCTATGAACCCAAACAGCATGACATCCGAACAGCCTCGAATTTGACCGAGGGATGTTCTGTTCCTCCTTTCCTGCCTCTCCCTTGTCCCGACAATACGAGCGAGACGTCAAACTCAGGCACCACCGGATCTTCATTCGCTTAGAGGGGAGACGTCGGGGCCCAGTTTCAACGTTTCTCTCCACCGGGCAACAGAAGTCGTGCTAGCCCAAAGTTGCAGTGTCTTGACTGGACGCCCGACGGGAGCTTTCTCGGCCTGGCTGAACCTTGTGAACGCCAGAGCGGATCCTGTGTGTCGGGATAAGCTGGTTGACTTGCCAGATTGGTTCGGGGACCCAGAGGAAAACCACGGGCTGGAAGGGGACGCTTGAACCATGGTTCTGGTAAATGGCAATTGGGTGAAAGGTTGCATCCGCGCCAGGCACAAACAAACATTTTCCAACATGACAGGTATAACTCTAACTCAAAAAATAATTATTTTCATAACTGCTAGCCAAGGGTAGGAATAACAACATATACAACATGCATTATACATACATACATACATACATCTACAGCCACAACCCACTAAAGTCTACTAGTACTTGCGCTCCTCCATTGCTGTACTAACTAGGTACTGGATCTACCTGCTGGAATTGGAGGACAGCTCCGAAGGGAGGGGACGGTGGGAAACGCGAACGGCGCACAGAATCCGTCCAAGCGGTGGTGGATTATTATATCCACTTAACGTGGTGAAATCGACTCATCATATTAAATCGACACGCGACCATCCTGGTCAGTCCCCATCTTAAAAGAGACAGATTCATGCAGTGACCAGGATGTGAGGACTTGCTAGACCCAGTGAGAACATGGACAATTAACAGTAGTGCTCCTCTCTGTTCCACCGCGTGCGGTTCAGTCTTAGGTACCGAGGGACACCAGGGAAAATTACCACGCGAGCCACCTGCAAAGTAAATGGTAGTACTGAGTACTTAGTAGGGACGCGTTGCTTCCCAGCAAGTGTCATGATTGATTGATTGATTGTCCAGTCGGTCTCCGTCTCCAATGGGTCTTGCCTCGGGCCCGAGATGACAGCAATTCCACATGTGCTTCGGCCGTCTCCAACCGACAAAAAAGACGTTGGATGGATGGATACTCTTCCAGCGTCCGTTGAAAGTCAATTGGAAACGTCATATCAGCTGTCAATTGCTACTTTCCCCATGGTCGGTTATCCTTAGTACCGGAGACTACTACGGACTCTACGGGGTGGACCTCGGAATCTGGAGGTGAAAAGGAACCATTGCAGGATGAGAAGGAGGGGAAAGGAAAGAGGGAGGAGAGGGGAAAGGATTCAGATTCAGATGGGTTACTCGATTGAGTCATCCCAGATCTCAGTTCTCAGATTGAGTGCGAACACACCGCTAATATGTTCTCATCTTGACTAACCCAGAACTTGCTTATGCGCCTCTTACATGTACCTGCATCTTTCGTGCAGCCCGTCACGTTCCCCCTCCTCACGTTTTTTTTGCTTCTTCTTTTCTTTTCTTTTTCTTCTTACATGGACCGGCGGTCTGGATGTGCATCCTGCTCGTGGGAGAATCTTCCCAGCCAGCAGGGAAGACGTGTCCAAAATGGAGTTCAGTCACTCCATTGACTGGGGCAGCTGTGGACAGGAACACTGCATGAGAATCGGTAGGAATCCGCCAGCTTCCAGCCGTCAATGGCTACTAATAATAATGAATAATCCCGACGTAAGAAGCAGTTCTTCCGGTGCAGCTGAGGCTCGTCAGCTGATCCACCGAGGGTCTTTTTTTTCCCCTCTCCTTACGTATATTTTACTTACATACCCTTTCTCCAAACCGGTATTGGAGATACCGGAACAGATACGGATACCCACCATCCGCACTGCCCATACCATACCATACAAGTATAGGCACCATACTTATCCTCCTCCATCTTTGTGCAGATACCCACAGTAAGGCCATAATGGAGAGCCCCATTGAGAGATAATATATCGCAGATAAGAGAAGCCACACACACACAGAGAGAGAAAGAGAGAGAGGGTCGGAGAAAGAGACGGAGCAAGGAAGAAAGAAAGAGAAAGAGACTGACCGAAGGGGGGAAAAAAGCCCCCTCGGACATGCACACACGCACAACCATCACTACAAAGAAAAATCCCACCACCAAACCAACAATTTCCCTCACACATACATCTCCCCTCCCCCAAACTAGCCCCCATCCACATCTCAAACCCTGAAACAAGACATCTACTTCACACATCTCGCTTCAGCCCCAAAAGGCAGGCAGGCAAGCAGTAACAACACCACACCCAGCCTCCCAACTACTACCACTACTACCACACCACTGTCTCAGATCCAACCTTATTAACCACCACTTTGTCCATCCCTTTCTTTTTCAAGTTACACCTATCCTCCCCTAGCGTGTAGCACCATCCAACCCAACCCACCCACTGCCCCCCCTCTCTCCCTTCCCTTGCCCCCAACTTCGTGCTCCATCGTTCGAAGGACTCCTGACGATCCCTGGTGTCTAGACTCGAGACTAGAGATCATAGGTCGTAGCCCAGCCCTTTTTTCCTTTCGCTGTTACTGTGGGTGGTGGGGGTGCTGGTTTAGTTTAGTTTAGTTTTAGTTTAGTTCTACTCAAGTCTACTGTTTTAGTTTCGTACCGAGTCAGTACTAGATTTAAACCAACTTATGACTTGAATGGGGGAGGGAATCGGGGGTTGGTTTCCTGGATTGTTGTTAATGCGTATCGTATTCGGTATGCGTGTATTTATTCTATGGGTTGGTATTTAACTTCTATCTATATCTATCTATTACTTCTACTACTTCTATTTCTATACTCTCTATACATAGGTCGACTATATATATGATGCTACCTTACTTACTACCTAGTAATATGATGTAGGGATACAATACAGGTAATATCCTTGTTAAGTTGTTGTACACATTCTAGGAACATGATAAACGAATAGATGAATTGAATGGAACTTACTACATCTTGCAGCATATATACTTGGTATAGTACATGTTTACTGTAGGGAGAAACTAAGCTCTATGAAAGCCAAATGCTATATACTACTACACAGCACATCCATAACAGCATCAATGGCTCATTTCATGCTTTGATCATAGTATAGACAAATCCT